GCAATATAATTTTGTGAATTCAATTTTTTTTAAATAATTATTTCCTTTTGTTATTGAATTTACTTAAATATGGTTTTGGATTGCCAAATTCTCTTTTCAAAACTATATATAAAATTTATTTTATTAATTTTACTTGAATTTAATTTTTTATTTTTAAATATTTTAATAAAGACAAACATTCTTCTCAAAATTATTATTAAAATCAAACAAACTTATATCCTAAATACTTTGATTTCAATAATTCGCCTATACTCGATGCAATAAGTTCAATATATGCCTTTTCATATTTTTTTTGTGAAATAAAAAATTTCAAGCCTCAAAAAGATTATTTAAAAATATTTTGATTACGAAAACTCATTTATGGAGAAATGAAATCAAAATCACAAATTAAGTGAAAAAGTTATAAAGTTTGAATAACTCATAAAAAATCATAATACTTTTAATGAACAATCTAAAAATATAAACACTACATCAAAATAGAGTTTTAGCGGTGTTTTTTAGTCATATAACGGCGTTTTTAAGCGCCACTAAAAACACTCGCATTGATTGCAAAAACGTAGCAAGAAGAGCCGGCCATTCTAGCGCTGCGAACGTTAGTGGCGTTTGAGAACAAAAAATGCCACAAAAGGTCAAGATTTATAGTGTCATTTTTTGAACAAACGCCAGAAAAGTTAAGATCTATAGCGGCATTTTTGGAACAAACGTTGCAAAAGGTCAATATCTATAGCGGTGTTTTTCGAACAAACGCCGCAAAAGGTCAGAGATAAAAATGCAGCAAAAAGTTTGATCTATAACGGCGTTTTTTGATACAAACGCTGCTAAGTACCTTTCTTTAGCTTAGATTACTTGATTTTGCATATTTCATTTCTGCTCTACATCACCTAAATTTAATATCATGTAGCTTTATCTAATTAACAATAACCAACATTTTAAATAAGACACATTATATAAAAAATACTTAACAACAAAATAAATTAAAATTTATAAACATTACAATTAAATGAAATGTATTTTGATATTGTTCTTTAGAATTTAGTATAGGTTCTTTCACTTTCAATTAAAAAATATTATTCCCTAGAATTTAGTCTTCATTGCTCTTTCATGGGAAAGGAAGAAAAAAACACAACCTCTATTGTTTTATTTTAAAATAAAACATTAAATATCTGTTTAAAAAAGAAACATTTATAATAAAAAATATATAATCTATCCAAATTTTGGAACAATTCCTACTTAGGGAAAGGGAAAGGATAATTTCTTCTTCTTCTACTAATTATTGAACACATAGCTTAAAATAAATGAGAGGTGTTAACCGATATTTTTTATATTATCCGCTCTAAAGTTTGTTTATATTTACTAAATTATTTTTAAAATAAAAAACAAATATATTCTCAACTCTCGATCCAATAGCGGCTCTTCGATACATATAAAAGGACGGCTCAAGTCAATAAACTAAAACATATTAAAAATTATAATATTCCTTTTCATAAGTATAAATACATTACGAAGTAATTTAATTATTTTTTAATATTTATAAATTTGAGCAGTTAAAACCCTAATGGAAACCCCAGAGAACCGCCAATTAATCAACAGATAATCGTGAACCACCTCCCAGCCGTTCGCCCCTCACCAGCTGTATTATTCCGATCCCGCCTCTCCCATCTGACGGGGGAACCGTCTGATCCAGGATCCCATTTAATCCCTTCTGATGGAGTTGCGAAGCTTGACTCCACTATGTTGATTCCAAAACCCCCTGCATCGTTAAAGGATACTTTATTGGGCGCTTCTGCATCTGCCATGCAACAGACGGATTCTCTAATGGACGACGAGGACATTGAGATCCTGGATGGTGATGTCTCCCGGGGAACCATTGATGGAATAACAACCATTATTTTACCACGAAGATCACTTTGTTTGTGCGATGATTAAAATAACAATCGAAGTAAATAAGGGCAGGATGACTTTTGCTTGATGGAATGAAAACTTTATTTATCAAAAAAGAAGACGAAAAAAAGGGTAGGATTGCCCATTTTTGTTTTATGTAGTATGGACTACGGAGCCTTTAATTTCTCCGTTTTGCTCATCGATCATCGAAGCTTAATGAAGCCGTTGAAGGAGAACAAAGCTTGTCAACTAATTATTGTTGATGTAATGATAAATAATACACGTTAAGTTGTTGTATACATAAAATTTATGATTCAGTTCCCTATGAAAAAAATCCGAACACGACAATGCAGTAACAAATGATTCCATGCATAATTAACTTCTCAAGATTCAAACATTCAAATGGGAAGAAAAAAAAGTTTGAATATGATTTTACATGAATTTTGTTGTAATGTCAAACTGAAAGGACCCTAGATAACAGCCAAAATAAGTAGGATGGGCTTCGCTAAGTTCAAAGGGCTAACACCAATTTCACGAAGCATCATCTAAAAAAGCCTATCCTAAAGATTTTAGCTTAAGCATTAATTGCCAGCCCACATGATCAAAATTCTATTCAAAGAAGCCCTACGACTGGGACTAGTTCAAATTTGAAAAGAAAAAAAAAACAGAAACAAGATGTCAGGAGGCAGACGATCACATGCAGAATGAGAGGCTCAATAACCCAGAAAATTCGACCATAAATGCTGATGAGGGCAGGCAAGCAAACACATATATGCTCACTGCCAAATCCAGACATTCTATGAATCGTATTCAAATAAAGGAAATGCCTACGGCTGCAAAAATCTGTTGGGAGATTTAAACACGAAAAGGATGTCCCAAGAAAGAAGACGATCGTTTTGCAAGAATTCAGCTTCTCATTAATGGCGTCGATATATAGGAGAAAGAGCCTATCCAACCTCTTTTCCTTTTCCGTTCTCTTTTTCCTGCATGCTTAATTACGTAACATTGCTTTCAAGTGATTTAATAGCGTACAACAAACCAAGACACATCTAGTAGTCCCCCACATATGGAAAACCCAAACCCAGATGCCTGCAGAGCTCACATTCTCTCCCTTTTGTCTTTATTTTAAACCATTTACAGTTCCCCCCCCCCTGGATCCACGATCACCTTTCTGTCTCTTTTTCAAATCATCCAAAGTTGAAACCGACATTTCCTTGTTCATGCACACACTGCCTCCGTTCTCCGCCCTAAAATTTGTATACAACACGTTTAAGCCTAAATTTTCCTATTTAACCCATAATTTATTTATTTTTCTTGAGATTGTACTTGCTTTCAGCCGAACGTGAAAAACATCATAATTAATGTAATTGGACTTAAACAAAGTGACAAATATTTGACAGCGTGTGATCACACTAGAAAAACAAATAATTTATTTGTTTCATGTTGGATGGTGGAACACATGTTGGCTTTTTTCTTTGTCTTCTCGGATAAACATGGATGGATTTGCATCAAATGAATTGAATTAAGCAATTTGTAAAGATCACAACAAAAGTCAATGTTTGAGAGAAAGACGTGACCTTACGATTTTAGCAGCGACTTTTTGTCTACTTTCTGCAGTCAATGATTTTCAAATCATGGATTTGAATAGTTTTGTTTTGTTGAATCGCCAGCCATAATTTTAGACCATTTTAAATAATATATATATATATATATATTCAAAAAATTAAATATGATGAATGGTCTTTATTTATTATTGAAGTTTCTGAATACTGCAAGCAACTTATTCTTAAATATAATTTGTGAAAAATAAAAATAAATGATTTCTTCACTATATTTATAAAAAATAAATATAGTTCGTTTTAATAATGTTAATTTTTTAATTTATAAAGAAATGTAATATTATTCTGAGCTGGAAAAAAAGTGTCCAGAATTGAACCGAGACTGGATTAATTGAAAATTCCATATTAAATCATTTATAATTTTACACTCAAGTTTAATTAAATTACCAACAAGCCTCCAAAAACTGTCCAATTAAATTAACCTTATATATACACTCACATTCACGGACGAAACAAGTGTCATTCATGAAATTCCAAATTTATTATATAGTTATCCTCCATTTGTGTTTGTTGGTTTTCTTAATCTATTATTATTGACATTGTATATACTTTTTTAAATAAATGTTTATGTAATAAATTATTAAATTTTTTTTTTAAAATTATTTATCTTCTTTAAATATTCTCATTTCATATTTTTGAAATATATTAAATCTATTAAAAATAATTATAATTATTTATTAGTATATATAAAATCAAGTTATTGTTATATATATATATACATATATATACTTTTTAATTTTATATTTTATTTTAACTTTATAAACATCATATTGATATGAGTCGAATTAAGTTGAAAACATTTTTTTGAGAGCTTAAAATTAATAATTTTGACTATGAGATTTTTAAATATTACATTATTTAGATATTCGTTTTTTTAATGTTTAAATATAATATTTTAAGCTCGAACCAAAGTAGCCTCTTTGGTAAATAAATTGTTATTCCTTATAAATTCGAATTTGACTACTATATATGTTAGATGCCTGAACAATTAATGTGTATATATATATATACACAAGTCATCGCACTACCAACCCTGACATACTGTGTGTATTTCTTTGTTTTTTTTTCCAAACATAATTTGCATAATTTTATCATATTTTTGGCATACTATATTATCATACTTTTATTTTAGCTTGAAGCAACTTTTAAAAACTCATAAAATATTATTTTATAATCATTTTAATCCTTAAATTATTAAAAAATTTACATGAAAAGAAATTATTTATTCATTTTATCACGATTCCAATAGAGAAACTGAGATTTACAAAATTTTTGGTGTCAAAACTGATGCCACAAAATTATCCATTCACCTTTTACTTGGCCAATCTTTTCGGCCAGAGTTCTGTCCCTGCAGTCATATGTCCAAGGAAAGGCAAACAAACACTAGAAGAAACAAACCCAATCCCCGCTTCATTTCAATCCAAGAATCCCACTTTTAAGTATTCATCGAAACAATCAAATTCACTGTTCAAAACTTTAAATTATATTGAAACAGGTCATGTACTTTTTGAAACAGGCAGAACAGAACATACAAGAAGAACAGAACACAAATTGTTTTGGATAATAACATGGGATTGCATTCAAAAGGCTACCGCATTAATTAACAGCGTTAATTCTGAGTTAGAACTCTAAAATCTAACTAAAATGAACAAAGGGAAAACAAGCAAAGTTTTCACTTTTTGTTGTTCTGCATTTCAAGATCGGTCAAGCGAACAAAGTCTCCCAAATATCTGTAAAGACCTCGACGATTATGTGATGATGGTGATGGGAGTTGAGTGACAGAAAACACTGCAACAATTGCTCGAGATCTTTAGCTGTAAATAGCTGTCTCTCGACGATCATTTCCACCATTGATGTCCTGAAATCGTTGAAGGGATCGCTAGAACTTTTCACAATCGCGAAGTTATCTTTGACTTTATCGGTTTCTTCCAGCGGTAAAACCTTCATCCGCGTTTCGCTTCCCCGGTTCTTAGCTCTTCTCCGACGAGTTTTGCACGTTTTCTGGTAATTGGCATGTTGTCGGTGAGACTCTGATGAATCCGACGAGCGAGTCCTTGAAGAGAAAAGAGTCTCCGTTTCATCTTCACTGCCAATCCACCACCCACCGTAGTAAGTACTATTATTATTATTACTACTATTGGCACTTTCTTGTGATGATGAGCTGAAAGATACGGCAGTGGAAGACATACACGTGGTTTTAGCATGAACCCTTTGGTTATTCTTCTTTTTCTTCTTGTTTTTGTTTCTGGGTATGCTCTTCTTCTTCTTCATCTCGTAGAAATCAAAGTCTTTACAGTCGTCGAAGATGTTCAACGGCATTGCAGTGGCGGCAGGCGGCGGGCACTTTCGGCTGTGAAAATCTGCGGCGGAGACTATGAAAGGAGGGTAACGAGCTGACGATTTACGTCGAGGAAGATCTTCTCCGGGAGGATTTATGGAGCCTCTTGGTTTAGAGATGGAAGGGAAAGATCGAGCCTTGGGTGGCGGCGGCGACGAAAATGGCTCCACCAAGTGGAAGCCGCTGTGGTTTTGAGGTGAAAAAACGGGTTTTTCAATGACATCGGAGATGTTCCGGGTCCGACAGGAGCTAAACGAGGATCGAAACATGCGAGAGATTCTTATCTTGAAACGATTTTCCATATCGATTGATCCAGAGGGGTTTTTCTTTCTTTCTTTTTTGATGGAAGGAGGGTGGCGATGTATGATTGCAGAAGCAAAACTTATATTTAAATAAGCGAGAAACCAGATTTTAAATCTCGTAATTATTGTTTACTCCTTTGTCTTGGTTGTGCAAATTGTGGGTCAAGGTTAAGAAGATTTGATCTTCTTGGGGATTCATTAGTAATAGTAGAAAACAAGGATAATGCTCACGGGTAGTCAACTATTTCTAGGCGCCTTAATTTTCTCTAAAAATATTCCAACTAGAAGTTTATGATTCTAAAATCAACCACATTTATTACCCTACACCATTGCTTAAATTGTTATATTTATCCATATAAAATTTATTCAAATAATTTATTTTAATGCAGCTAGTACATTCATGTGATTTTATGAGATTATGATTTTATTCATTTGATTTATTCAAATATTTACATATTTATTTACTTATTTCTAAATTTTTAGATCTGTCACCAGTTATATATTGCCACAACTATCACCCTTAGCTATTATACATCAACAAAATTAATTTTTCACCAATAAACGATCGGTTTTGATTATTTTTATTTTACTTTTCTAAAGAATGTATTTATGAAATTAGTTTTAAATGTCATCGACTATCACTTAATTAAGATAAAATATTTTTTTCTGAATAAAATCAGAAATACAGATATTAGTATTAACTGTCGGATAAATTTCCAACGGGGGCCTATCTTAATTGAGCCTAGCAACACAAGAGGCCCTCTCCTAGGAGGCCCAAACTGTCTGAAACAACAGGCAGTAGCCTCGGCGGACTTTGGGGGCAATGTTATTTGTTTATTTTTGGGCCCAACAGGAGGAATGGGTAAATTATTTAGGAAAATAGGGCAAGTAGAGGTTTATTTTGAGATGTACGACATTTTACATATTTTTCATGAAACTTTTCACGTCGAGATAACGAATTCCAATAAAATGAAATTTTTATTAAAATTTATCGCATCAAGATTAAAAGTTTGAATAAAAAATAAAGTAACGAATTTTATGTCATTGTAGAAAATAACATAAATCCCAAAATAAACTTCTACATGCACTATTAAGCTAAATAAAAAACCCGTAAACCGTACTGGGTCAATTTTACCAATGTTATATGACAGACAAGGATCCTAGGACACGGCAAAATTGGCCCATAAGTTAGGCGGGTAAAAAATTAATCTATTATATTTTCTCTAAAATTATTTTGGGATTTATTGTAGGAGAAAACCGTTACATTTATATGACGAGTTTGTTTAAATAATATTTTTTTTATTTAAATTCATCACAACGATGTGATGAGTTTTAATAAAATTCGATTTTTTATGAATCACATAAATAAATTTTGTAGATCTCTAATTAATTTTAAAGATGATCTAATGGACCAATTATTTTACCCGCTTAACAAATATATGTTTATTTAATTAAAAAAAGGCGTTCATGCCCCGATCAAGATTTCGACTTGAACTCAATGTGATCTTCCTGTTTTATTCGATATAAAGCATTGCCTCACTCATTGGACCAATATTTTCTGAGCGATTCACCCTAAAGGGAAAATTTCCATGTTCTTGAATTTATCAGCCTAAAACTTCATATACTATTATAAGACGAAAGCTAGGATTTTTGCTTTTACTTCTTTTAACTGGAAATTGGGAATTAGATTCTTCCTTCCTCTGGGATAAACTTATAAATAATTAGTCTCAGTTGTTGCGGGTCGTTAATGGCTATTAAACCCAATACCAATAGCCGAAGATACAAGGCGTAGAAGAGTCACCCACCTTCGATGGCTTCCCAACATGTAGCAATACGACAGGCAAACACCGACGAACAACGCCACGTTTCGTCCAAAAGTGCAGCAGACTACGTTGCTTTAACGTGTGGTCGTCACATTCCTCCACCTGAGAAGATCCGCTTCTAGTCTCTCTCCCGATATTTTTTTAAATCTTTTTATTATGCATATAAATAAAAGGAGAATAAATTGGATGAATTGGATAATTAGGAGAAAATAAAAGATCTTTTCTACATTATTCTTGTGTTGCCAGCAAAGTTTGGAACTGAAATATTCAATTCTTTTTTTTTTAGTTCGATTCTCTTACAGAAATGGCGGGCAGTGACGAAGCTTCAGTTATTTACTTTCCAGAAAGACCCACAGTTTTGTTTCAAGGAGCAACAACGGAGCAGCTGGCTTGAAGTTAAACGTGGTTGTTTTTTACGGTTGCCGTCACGGGGCTTACGTGCAGAAGTGTCGATCGTTTAAGGGAGATGATGGAGGGGAAGTGGAAGAGAAAGAGATGGAAAGCGAGAGAAAGCTCGGGATTTTGATGGAAAATGAAGTGAAGCTGGAAAAAGGATATATGGGTTTTGGAAATCTTTGAAATCTGCTGTTTTGGGGGTTAGTAAATTGGGTTCTCAATCTCAAGCTGAATATGAAAAAGCTGTGGCTGAAGTTGATGAAGTTTTCTACTCGGTGAGTTGTAAACCATCTTTTATCAATTGAATCTCTCTCTTTTTCTTTATGATTCGTGTTCAATTAGTTGTAATCATGCTATATAATTATTTTAACAATTGAGTTTATGCATGCATGTTTAACTGTATTCCCATCTTCTTGGTGTCTACTATTGTCTGATATGAGTTATCATCTTGTTGTAATATTTCAATGCTAAACTTGGATATAACCTTCGGGGCTTTTTCCCCCCTCGTGAACCAGATTGCTATGCAAATTGGAAGATATATTGTGACCATGATGAGCACCGGATTGATTCTCTTGACTGGTTTTCAGTTGTCAGGTTAGCTAATGTACTTGTGCATCTTTGAATTGATTTTGGATGCTTTCTTTAAGGAGTTCTCTGAGAGTTCAGTTTTCTCTATAGGTGGAGAAAGTCAGATGAATACATTGATTTGGTATAGCTGGGTTGGAGGGATTATCATTGGAACCATGATAGGAGCAAATATGGGTCTAGATGAAACACTGTCGAGCTGGTCCGAGAAATGTTGTTATAACTGGAAGGTACAAAATATAAATTTGCCTATCATATTTGAGTTTTTGAGTTTCTTTACAGTTTCTGTTTAAGAACTTAGATCATATCTACTTAGAAACAAAAATTTAGGCAGATATGTGCTAGTGGATCCATGATACAGAGAACTTACCCTTTTTGTTGGGCTGTGGTTTGTGTTTTTGACTGCCTGATTTAGCAGAAGAGGATTGGAAAAGCACTTGCTCGAGAATTTCTTCTTTCTGGAGATGGTCTTGTTGTTGCATCTCGCAGGTGGAGTACAAACCACTTAAGCTAGTTTATGATATTAATACTTTATTTTCAGTTATTATTATTATTATTATATCAGTATAGTTCTCATAAGGGTTTAAAATAGCGGAACGAAAATTCAATAGTATATGTTATTTTACGGTAATATCACCGTTCGAAACCGAAATCCGAAAAAATAACAGTGGCAGCATATTAACGCCAAAATCAGTCGATCGCGTCGGTAATCTAACGGGTAACAATGAATAGTATTGATAACGAAATATTATTACCGTTATGTACCGTTAATGTGAAAAAAAAATCTGAATCAAAAGTTTTTTTTTGTTTAAAAAGATGAAAGGCTCGGGGGAGGAGGAGTTGAGAGAATCGAGAGAGCTTTGCAGAGAGTTTTACCGTGAGATTGGAGAGAGCTTTACCGTGAGACTGGAGAGAACTTTGCCGTGGGAGGGAGAGTTGAGAGACCGGAGAGACTTTGCTGGAGGGAAAAGAGAGAGCTTTTAAGTTTGGAAAGAGATTGGAGGATAAGATAAGAATTGAAGTTGCAGGCTAGCATTCTTTTCTGTTTTGAATATTTTTTCCTTCAATTTCTCTCTTCCCAGATTATGTTATGAAAACGGGTACAATTATCAAAGAAGTCCTTTACTAAGTGAAAGATTTGATGAATTTCTTCCATTTAAATTTTAAATTTTTATTTTTTAAAGAAGTCCTATATTTTTCTACCGGTTTAATTTAGTCCTAATTTCAGTAATATAATTTTTTTACATTTAAATTTTACATTTTTATTTTAATTATATTTAATTTAGTTATTTTGTGTGGTAAAATGTTTCTTACCTCATAGTTATAGCAAAATTTATTTTTATCCATTTTAATTTCTTAGAGTTTTTTCTATGTTGATAGTATTATTTCTTTTAAATAATAATGTATTAAAAAACTCTTCATTAATTAATTATATTATCTTATCATTAGATTTTTAAAGTCTTCTATTTGGTTAAACTATATTATATATGTATATCATTTTCGCTTAGAAAACATTCTAAAAATCATTAAAAATGATTCCTTATAATTAGAATTAATTTTATTATGTTTTAAGATAAGTTGTGTAAAGTTTAAAAAAAATTACGACTGCGACACCCGCAATGACCGCGATGACATCCGTTATGTCCGCAATCATGATAAACGCGACGCGACTAAAAACGTATCCGCAAACGCTATTTAAATCCCTGGTTCTCACAACAACTTTTCCTCATTGTACCTTGTTAAGACAGTCCCGAGTTTATTGATATGACTATGAAAGAATTTGAGGAAAACCTGAAGGAAGGTATGACTGCCGGTGGCTCATCCAGCGAGAATCTGGAAAGAGTGAAATTGGTTGGTATAGCATGTGATTTTTGTGAAGCCAATGATGTCGAAAAATTGGCCAACTTTGCCATCAGCGAACTTGGTTCTGTTGACATTTGGGCGAGTTGAATAGTCTAACTTGTTCCTACTGTCATTCCCTTCCCTTGCATGACAAGTGAGCGCATGCGTACAAGATCCAATATAGTATGTCATGTTATCATGTTGATGCTTTTGGGAGGTGATGCATGCAAGATAAAACCATGTGCCTATTATCAATTAGGATGCTGATGCATGCTGATATAAGTAAACTGAAATATATTTTCTACTTTATTAGGATATAAGATGCCGAGAGTAAAATAATTTTGCAGGACACGAGTGACGAGCAATTATTGTGTCTGAGTAGCTTCCATGTGGTACCTGTTTGTTGAGGCTGGACAAAAAACATTTACTTGTGTGCTAAATGTGTGATTCTGATTTGTTTTTATCACGTACAGATAAATAACGATGGCACTAACAAAGGTTTTAGACCATTACTACAGTTAAGCGATGAAGATATTAAACAGGTATTTTTATTTGTTAGATTTGTTTCTCGAGCAATTCCTCCTTTTCGCATTTCAATAACATATAAATCTTCTCACAACTTGTAGGCTTCATAGTAGATAGGACCATAGGATATTGAATTACCAGTCCCTTACATTTATCATTGCCTCAATTGCTTCTACTTGTAACTAGTTTCTGTAACACGACTAAGGACTAACCAAGAGCAAATAGATAGCTAGTAATCGATTTTCTCTCACCATAATTTAAGTCGGATGCATGAACTCCAATATCCAGTGGCTAAAATGGTTTTTAGTTTAGGGTTAGCGAGATGACAGTGTCTTGTCTCTGACTAGCTGGTTTTGAGGATAGATTGTCTCAACAAATCTCGTTGCTAATATTCTCTGCACTCGGGAAGCCATGCGCATCATTAAAAAACAGCCAAAGGGGGGACACATATTTAACATGGATGGTGCAGGTTCTGGGGGATCCACTGCAGTGTAAATTCTCATTATCTGTCACTGTAGTTGGTTCTTTTTCTTGTGTGCTGCTACTTATCAACAGATCTCAAATTTTCGTAATGTTCAAAAGTTTTCGGTAGTTATTATTGATTGTTGCTCAGATATGGGTCGACGAAATGCGTTCTTAGAAAACTTCATGCATCACTTTTCAAGGAATGCAAACGTTCTAAACTAGAAATTCACACAGCATCTCCAGGCATGGTCCGTACAGATCTGTTCTTAAGGTATATTGGATGCATCCTGACTTGTGAGGCAGTCTCTTTTACCTGTAGAACATTTAACTCAAGTATTCATCCATGTAAACTCGAGAGACGTGTCAGATGGTACTAGTTACTTTCTTTTAGATGATACCGATATTTGTTTCTTGTAAATGTGCAGTGATTCAACCTTAAAGAACAAACAAATGTTTAATATTATTTGTGAGCTTCCTGAGACTGTTGCAAGAAGTCTAGTTCCAAGAATGCGAGTTGTAAAGGGAACTGGGAAGGCCATCAACTACTTGACCCCACCTCGGATATTATTGGCTTTAATCACTGCCTGGCTGCGACAAGGCCGTTGGTTTGATGAACAGGTGAATCTTGGTTATCGTAGGAAAACATTTGTCATATAGTTTCCATCATTATAGCAGAAAAGTTTACTGCACCTAATGAATCCTGTAACAAGGGAATGCTTGTCGAAGTTTTGTTCTTATGATACTTTCAACTGGTTGCTGGACGGTCTCATCCTGATATTTAAACTGTATCTTTTCCTATTTCCCATATTTTGTTTCTAATGCAAGAATGTGCATTCCCAGGGTAGGGCATTGTACGCGGTAGAGGCAGATCGTATCCGGAACTGGGCTGAAAACCGTACACGGTTCTCGTTTACAGATGCAATGGAAATGTACACGGAAAACACTTGGGTGTCTGTGTTCTCACTTTCAGTTTGTTTGTGCCTTCATCATCCTTTCTAGCACGAGCAGCACATTACCTGGCACGTGAGACGGCACGGTCATAATCCAAAATCATCAAAGACTATTTATATCGCATACAGGGAGCCAAGTATGATTGTACATGTGACATGCGATGCGATTCTAAGGTCTAACAAATGGATCATATACCAGTACTGGTTGAGACCAGATTTATGGGGTTTGATTACAATAGCATGGATATTTCATTGAAGCATTCTTTATTCCTCTACTTGTAACATGTATTTATGTAATGATTGAAACTGTAATGAAATTTAGATCCTTCCTGTTCATGGACCATTCGAAGACACCTTTCATTTTCTTTTTTCAATTAATAGCTGGAATTGGGGTTCAGTTGAGTCAGAGCAAAACGAATGTCATGGCACTAATCATAAAAATGAATAAAATAGTAATTGAATGGACCATACAATCTGTCATTTGTCGTGACCATGACCCCTTCGACCTCCCAACTTTGCCCCGTAAAAAGTAAACAATTTCTACTCCTGTTTTTTTCCAGTACAAAATTCCACGTCAATCACGGAGGATGCAATGGATTCGTAGACGCTAAAAGCCTAAACGAACGACCTTTTAATTTTTATAAAGCATTAAGCATTATTAGCAAAAATAAATGGGATTATTTTTTTTTCAAATATTAAAAATAATTAAAGTTGGCTCACACATATTTGATTTTTTTAATTGCAAATACAAATAAATTCAATTAAAACGAACATGAGTTGGACAGTAGCCAGCGTGGTAGAAGGCATCTGCTTAACGGGCCGTCGTGGAAGGCACAACCTTCAGTTAGAAGATAAAATATGAGTGGGGCTGGGGCGGCGCTCACCACTCGGCAGCGGCTGGCGTTTTAGATTTAAAAGAATTTTTGATCAGGTCAAGTCTAACGAGCCCGCAGGTTCACCATGCAGCCAACAACACTTGAATACATCCCCTCCGCTTGACCTGACCTACCAACCTGCCGGCGCTTTTCTTCTTCCTTTATCCTCCAATTCCACAACATCTTCACACCCATATGTTAATTATATATATTTCTTATTATATGACTATTTCATTTGTTTATATTTACGCACATGGTTTCGCCCGTTATTTCAAAATTACATAAATAAATTTATATATACCGGGAATTTATCACTATTTTATAAGTGATATGTTCTGTTTTATCAATCATTTCACCTTGTTCTAAATATATGATTTTCAAAGTTATTATCACCTTTTTACAGATATTAGATACATAAATTATTATTTATACTAAGAAAATTTCCTATTACATTAATTATAAATATTATTAGGAAAGACGTCCCCATCCTAAAATGTTGAAATTAGGCGTTGGTTTCCAGCTGGTTTTGCCTTTAACTTGGACCGGCAGCTAGCTGATCGCCTTAAATAACGCTTCAAATGTGAAAACAAGCATATATAGTAATACTAGTATTATAAATCTTTTGTGGAGTACTAGTTGGATTTACCTCATCCTTGACTTAACCTACGTTTATCAATCAATCTCAAAACGAAATTGCATATTCTAATGCGTATAAATCCTACTCGTTTTCACCGCTCTTGTCTAAGCTTATAATAAAATAATTTAATGATAACCTCCTAAATTTCCGTTTTGACTCTCTTGCTCCTTAACAGTTAACCCTACCCCTAATCATTAAGAGAAACCCTAATAATAATTTAATATCTAATGGTATAATTTTTTTTGGATAAATCAAAATTTTATTATCCAAAGAACAAAGTTCAACAACCATTCAACCAATCAAACAATCAGCAAGAGAACAAAACAAGATACAAAAAACAATGATTGGTTAAATTATGCCCCAAGCATTACATAGAAAGAAATTAGTGCTATCTAATTTGTTAATAGATTTCCCTCTAAGCCGTATGCTAACAACTTCAATGATTTCCTTGAGCAAATTATCAGTGGAACGGGATCTGCCTTGAAATATCCTTCGATTTCGTTCTTGCCACAAGGAGTAAACATAAGCATTCCAAGCAATTTTCAAGATAGTGGTAATAAGAGATTTCCCCTTCCATTTTAAACAAGCTCGATAAACCATATCATCCCAAGGAAGAACGGTGAAGTTCATTCCGTTCAAATGAAGGATAGCTCTCCAAAGATCAACTGCCAAGGGGCAAAGAGAAAACAGATGATCCCTTGTTTCGTTGCTATTCCTGCAATTAACGCAAGTTCCATTAGTGGTGATTCCCATGATTTGAAACCGATCTCTAGTAGGTAGCCTATTTAATAAGGCCATCCACGCAATTAGGCTATGCTTTGAAATGTGCATAGGGTACCAAATAAGCTTGTGTCATTGCACTTTCAGACGTTGCATCCGGATATTGTCCCAGATTTCCTTGGTCTGTAGGGAGCCTGTAGAAAACAGGGGATAAGCCGTTTCCCTCAAATTGAGTATTCTACGAATACTCCAGCTTGTAGAGTTCCCAGCTTCAAACTGCCAAAAGCTTTGATGTTTAAAAACGTAATGATTAAGCCAAGCGACCCAATGTGAATCGTCACCAGCAAGAATCTTCCTTATGAGACTAATAATGCAAGCTTTGTTCCAGGTGGGAATATTTTTCAAGCCTAAACCACCTTCAGACTTAGTAGTGCAGATTTGATCCCAACTTACTCTAGCTCCTGTTGCCTTTTTGTCTGCCCCTTTCCAAAAAAACCTTGAGCATAGTTGCTCCACAGATTTTAAGATAGAAGTTGGTAAGATTAGTTATTTACACCAGAAGTTACAAACGCTGATTAAAACTGATCTGATAAGTTCTAGTCTACCTGCATAACTGAAGTTTCTAGCAGACCAGTGGTGCAATCTCTGTCTAATTTTGTCAAGCAAGGGTTCACAGTCCTTCAGAGATAGTTTACGGGTGACAAGGGGGATACCAAGGTATCTAACTGGTAAACATCCCATTTTAAACCCTGAGATGATTTTCAGATCCTGTAGAACCGAATAAGAAATACCATAATAGAAGAGATCACATTTGAACGAGTTTAATTTCAGACCAGAAATTTGATAAAACTGATGAAGAACACTCAAAACACCTGCCACTGAATCAGCATTTCCTTTACAGAAGATCAGGAGGTCATCAACAAATGAGAGGTGAGTAAGCCAAATTTTCTTGCATTTAGGGTGATAGGCAAAGAGACCTTTGGTCGCAGCAAGATTAAGCTTTTTTTTAAAGTACATTCATAGCAAGCACGAAAAGATAAGGGGAAAGAGGGTCCCCTTGTCTTAAACCTCTTGCCCCTTTAAAATAACCTATCAAGGTACCATTAAATGCAATAGAGTAACGAGCTTGGATGAAGCAAGATTCAATCCAAGCAATAAAAGTAAGAGGCAGGTTTAGCACTTTAAGAATTGATAAGATGAATCTCCAATGAAGTGAATCGAAAGCCTTATGAAGGTCAATTTTCATTGAGCATCTTGGAGATGAATTTTTCCTTCCATATCCTCTGACCATCTCCTGAGCAAAAAGAGAGTTATCTATGATGTTACAACCACGAATAAAAGCAATCTGGTTCAAGGTGATAATCTGGGGCATGAAAGTTGTCATTCTGCTGACAATGATTTTGGAGATAATTTTATATAAGACAGAACAACATGATATTGGCCTATAGTCTTTGACAACACAAGGGTTGGGAACTTTGGGAACAAGAACAATGATAGTGGAGTTGAAAGCTGGATGGATGAAACCATTACAGAAAAAGTACTTCACTGCATTGATAATATATTCTCCCACTATAGACCAGCACTTCTTAAAGAAAAATGGAGAAAATTTGTTCGGGCCAGGAGCTTTATCATTTCCTTGAGAGAATAAGGCATAATGGATTTCTTCAGTGGAGACCTCCTTAACCAGGGAAGAGGAAGCTTCAATGGGAAAATAATAGTTAAGAAGATCTTTGAGAATAGAGGGTTCAATGTCCTTGACCAGAGGGTCAACAGTATCAAGAAGTTGGGTGAAAAAAGAGGTGACCTCATTAGCCATGGTATCAAATGTTTCAAGTCTGTTGCCCTTATCATCAATGAGGACTCTAATAGTATCCCTTTTTTTTAAGCAACAATTGAATGGAAAAACTTGTTGTTTTTGTCGCTATCGTTTATCCAATGAACTTTAGCCTTTTGTTTAAGAAACATAGATTCAACTTCTTCCAGAGCCTTCAGCTAGTCTTGAAGGTTAAGTTCCTTCACAATGGAATCATCTCCATTCAGAGTAAGAAGCTGCTGATTTTTCAATTCAGCTCTTTTTAGTTTCACACGGTCTGAAATGTTGTTGAATTTATCTTTGTTGAAAGACTTTAGACAGAGTTTGAGTCTCTTAAGTTTCAAGAAAAGAGTCAACATGGGATCGCCAAAGGCTTCTTGATTCCACGAGTCCCTAACTAGATTGGTGAAACAGGGATGAGAAGCCCATAAATTAAAAATTTTGAATGGTTTAGGTCTGGTGGCAGGGTTATCTTTGGAGAGCCAGACGATGGCCATGCTATGATCGGAGATTCCAGGGGAAAGGAATTCAACAAATGAGTGTTGAAAGAAAGAATCCCAACTTGAGTTAATCAGAATCCTGTCAAGCTTCCTAGCAAGAAAGAATTCCTGATGCTTGTTACTCCAAGTAAACTTAGGACCAAAATAAGGATGGTCAAGGAGTTCAAGCTCATTAGTGAAGTCTTGAAAATCCTTCATATCTGGTGAGGAATAAGAACCTAACAGCTCATGGTCGGAGCTTTCGTGAGAATGCAAGAATATGTTATAGTCTCCTCTTAAGACCCAGCTAACTTCCCTTAGCTTATGCCACAACAGTCTTCTGTTGATCCCTTCGTTACTGCCATAGATTACAGAAATGTAGACTGAATTTCCAAAAGCAGTCCCTTTAGCAGTGATACACTGTTGACTAATGATATAATTTGCGACTGTTATGATGGTAGTTTTTTGGTTGCCTCCCGATTTCCAATGTTTTGTCTTGATTAATTTGGACTGATCCGGGTCGCACACCTGATTTTGGTGGGTGAGTCTCCCAGCGGGGATTTTCTACATACACAATGATTCGAACTCGAAACTTATTTAAACGATATCAAGCTGGTTATCACTTGAACCAACCCGTTAGTAACGTTAGGAGGATAGTTGCATGCATGCATGCATTGATGCCAAATGGTTGCTTTGGAATTCGTATCTGTAACGTTGCAGTGCACCCTCTCGTCCGATATATAAATTCAGTTTGCTTGTGCTGTATTCGTTGAAGGTTTCAACGCAGCCAAAATTAGTTGATCAGATCGTTTTGTTTAACATTTACAATCTACCAATATATGTTTGGGTTGATTCGAAAGTAGTTAACCTACCAGGCAAAAAGTATGCTGCAAGTATTGAATATGTTTCTTCTATATTATAAGCATTAAGATAAATTATATGAATGATGGTTTAACAATTGAAATATTAATTTTGTCAATAGAATTATTTAATTATTTAAACGATATTAATTAAAATGTTATTAATATTTGTATTGATATTTAATAAATAAATTAACATGAAAATTAAAAATTAACCTAATTACATATTTTTATCAATTTTATTATAATTTTAAACCAATTTAATAATTTTAATAATCTAACTATTGATATGTGAAGGAAATTAATAATAATTTTTTAAGATAAACTACACCTATGACCATTTAGTTATGAGAAACTTTTATTTTGACTATTGATCTTCCAATTTTATCAACCAGAAAATTTATCATTTTAAACAAAAATCAATCAAACCACCTACCGTTAACATTTACCGAAAGAGCTGTTGTGGCTATTAAAAAGATTAGTACGTATAATCACACGTTGAATTTTCATTACTTACATGTTCTATCAATTTGATCATAATTTTAATTCAATTTAATAATTTTATTATTCAATTATACAGTAACACATGCCACCACTTGTTTAAAAAAAAAACAAATTAGAGAAGAAAAATGTGTATAAAGAGAGATTGAATCTGGGATCAAGGCTAGTCTAGATATGCCTATAACATTAATTTAAATCTCATATTTGATATCAAATTACATAATTTTGTATATATCATATTTTAGTTTATGACAAAAAAATAAAAAATAAAATGATAATTATAAGATTGAAATTTGGATTTCAAATTTGGAATGGATGCACTTTAATCATCATGACAAATCATATATTTAAAAAAATTACAATATTATATATATATATATATATATCTTCGATTAACCTAAATTTAAGATATTACTTTTCCTCTTTTATATCAGCATATAAAAGGGAAAAATAATATCTTAAATTTAGGTTAATTGAAGATATGAATTGTGAGCACCTACACCCTAGTTGCTTTAATTTTATTTAACCGACGGTGATATCGATTTTGATGCTGGTTCTCACTCGTCGATTATTTTTTTTCCTTTGTTTTTTTAGTTTTTTAATAAGAATAATTATATCTACGTGACATGTTTCTCTACTTTTATGTCACGTTTATCTCTGCATTTGTGATACATTTTTCTCAACATTTTGTTAGTTCACAGTTTTTTGTCGTTGTTTTCGTTTATCTTTTTTCTCAAGGTTGGATTCGACATCGCCACGATTGATCAAGATGACGCTTATTTGTTATCATGATGATCTTCCCTGCTTTGGACCATCAGATTGATTTGGATACGTGTTTTGCGTTCGTGGATAGTTTAATTTCGTCGTTTGAATTTGATTTGTGATTTGTCGGTGGCCTTCAGTAGCTTCATCTCCTTTTGTGGTTCGTTTGCCGATGCAGTCAGATTTATTTGTATTATTATTTTGTTCGAGCATTGGTTAGATTGTTTAATCTTTTCTTTTTTTCGATCCTTATGTGATCTAGGTGACTAGTTTTTGTGTCAATGATTATAACAAAATGTCCTAATTATAATTTTGTTTACGTTAACATTATACTTGTAAATCTTGTGGATATTTTCTATTTTTAATAAAACTATCAGATTTCTATGAAAATGGATTGGGAGCACCTAAATTATTAAAATAAATCACATATATATATATATATATATATAAAGTTAAAATTAAGGTAAGATTTAAAATCCTATATAAAATCTTCAAAAGAAGATAAAATAAGGGATAACACAACGCTTGGTCCTTATTTTTTTCCATGTCAATTTTTGAATTTGAAAACTTTCTCATTTTTAATCCTTTCAATAATATGAAACTATGAGATTATGACATATTATCTAAATGAAACGTTATTAAAATGAAAAAATAGGATCAAATTTAAAAACTAATATAGATTAAAAACAATTAAGGACCAATCTAAAACAATCATCAAGTTGATAGAGTAGATCCTATTTTATCCAAAAGGAAGGAGGATGAGTTAGAAGCGCGGTACAGTCGCGTAAGGGGGTATTATTTGTCCTAAAACGGACAGCAAAGCAAAGTAAAGACAAAAGGGTGGATTGTTTTTATTCGTTTTCTTAAGAGCTTCGCAGCAAGAACGTGAGGGCGGGGGCGGGGCCATCTGCTGCATGTGCTGGAAGAGACTACTTCTTCAAGTGCTTTCAAACTTGCAACGTTCCGATACAAAATCAAAATTTTCAATCCTCATTTAATTTCCCTTTCGGTTTTCAATCCGTTTTATCTCTTCAAAATTTCCCTAAACACTCCTCTTCTTCTCTAACCCAATCCCAGATAAAGTTTTTGGTTTTCTTTTTCCCTGCTGGTTTAGAGACAAGACAACAATGTCATCAACTCCGGCCCCAACATCACCACCACCAACCAATACCACATCTCCGCCGCCACCTGCCGCTACTCCGCCGCCTACTACCACTCCTTCCCCACCCCCTGCTACCCCATCAGCTCCTCCTCCCTCAACCACTGCTTCCCCTCCTCCAACCACCCCATCCCATCCTCCTCCCGCCACTGCATCTCCACCTTCCTCAACCCCATCGCCTCCTTCTTCAACTCCATCGCCTCCTTCTACATCTACCCCTTCGCCTCCTAGATCTACTCCATCGCCGCCGTCACCCCCTAGAACTCCAGGCACTGCATCGCCACCACCGCCTACTAGGAATTCCGGGACTCCGTCTCCCCCGCCTCCGTCTTCTTCGTCCGATTCAAGCAATGGGGTGTCGACGGGGCTTGTAGTTGGGATAGCTATAGGGGGAGTGACCATATTGTTGGTTTTGAGTTTGTTGTTTATATGTTGTAAGAAGAAGAGAAGAAGAGATGAGGAGAGTTACTACGTCCCTCCTCCTCCACCTTCTGGACCAAAAGGTCAGATATTTTCCCATGTTACTGTTAATTTAATTTGTGGGAATTTTTTTTAAACAGTAAAATTGGGTTATGCTGTGGGTTTGCATAAAAAATGGAATTAATTATGTTTTTTTTTTTTGCATAATTTTACATGTAAAAAGAACGCGCTTTATTGTTTTCAATATTGAGCCGTGCTTGGAGCGAAGCAAATTAGCAAATACTCTATTAGATTTTTGATAGATATCTGGCAGTGCATCTGCATGGACAATTTCGATTTGGCTGCTTCTTAATCATATAGATAGTTGCATTTAAAAGAATTGTTTTCAACTTTTTATTTGCAGCCTTACTTCATTGACTCTGCCCTTGGTTGGTTGTAATGATTTATCTTGTTTGTTGATTATTTCTAGATGATCCACATGGCGGCCAGCAGCAGTATCGGTGGCAACTAAATCCTCCTCCCCGTATGGAGCAATACGGTGCTGTGGCTCCAAGGCCATCTCCTCCGCCAGTTACAGCATGGCGACCTCCATCTCCAGGACAGTCTGCTACCCCTCCGCCACCTTTCATGAGCAGCAGTGGTGGTTCTGGCTCTAATAATTATTCAGGTTCCGAAAATCCACTCCCGTCGCCATCGCCTGGTATTTCGTTGGGTTTTTCGAAGAGCACATTTAGCTATGAGGAATTAGCAAGGGCGACAGATGGATTCTCGGATGCAAATCTTCTCGGACAAGGTGGTTTTGGGTATGTGCACAAAGGAGTTCTCCCTAATGGGAAGGAAGTAGCTGTTAAGCAACTCAAGGCAGGGAGTGGGCAGGGCGAGAGAGAATTTCAGGCTGAAGTCGAGATTATCAGCCGCGTTCATCACAAGCATCTTGTCTCGTTGGTTGGATACTGTATCTCTGGGACAACAAGAATGCTTGTCTATGAGTTCGTTCCTAACAACACTCTGGAGTTTCACTTGCATGGTAAGGCTTGTCTTTCACGTATATTTAACGGTAATTGATGTTTGATTGATCTGGTGAAGTGATCTGACCATGAATGGTAATTGCAGGGAAGGGGCGACCGACCATGGATTGGCCATCAAGGATGAGAATTGCTTTAGGATCTGCAAAAGGACTGGCATATCTTCATGAAGATTGTATGCTTTCTGACTCTCTCTCTTGCATCCTTGCTCGAAATATAGAATCTCAATCTCTTACTCTGTGGTAACAAATATCAATGTTTTCAGGTCATCCCAAGATCATTCATCGTGATATTAAGGCTGCCAATATTCTTTTGGATTTCAAGTTCGAGGCGAAGGTTGCTGATTTTGGGCTAGCAAAGATAAATTCTGAAGTCAACACTCATGTCTCCACCAGGGTGATGGGTACTTTCGGGTAAGAAGGCGTCCTGCATTCTTGTTACTCCGCAGTCTGCACATAGGACATGTTACTAAAAATTCTTTTAGAAGTTTTTCACTCACGTAATTCATGCTATCTCCAGGTACTTGGCCCCTGAGTATGCTTCAAGTGGAAAGCTCACTGACAAATCGGATGTTTTCTCCTTCGGGGTCATGCTTTTGGAGTTTATTACCGGACACAGGCCAGTTGGCTCCTCTCTTATGGAGGACAGTTTGGTGGACTGGGTTAGTTATTACTTTGGTTTATATGATGGTCTCACCATTCAAGCACACACTAACACACATAATCAGTTGCAGCTGCAGAATTCTAGATTTAAATTTCGCCGAATCTGTAGTTAAGTAATGTTAAGTAAATCTGTTTTGGCATTGCAGGCTAGGCCTTTGCTCACAAGAGCTTTGGACGATGGAAACTTCGACGGTTTGGTTGATCCAAAGTTGCAAAAGGAGTTTAACCCCAACGAGATGACTCGCATGATTGCTTGCGCTGCTGCTTGTGTGCGACATTCAGCAAGACGTCGACCACGAATGAGCCAGGTAATTGGTCTACCAGAATTTCTTTCAAATTGTGACAGCAATCTATCTAATATTACTCGGAATTTTAATGCTATAGATTGCATATTACAGTCGTTATTAGACTCTAACCCCAAGTTGTAACGGAGCAGGTAGTCCGTGCTTTAGAAGGAGATGCATCATTGTCCGATCTCAACGAAGGAATGAGACCCGGTCAGAGCGGTATCCACAGTTCTTACGGAAGCTCCGACTATGACACGATGCAATACAATGAAGACATGAAAAAGTTCAGGAAGATGGCTTTGGGCACCCAGGAATATGTTACCAGCAGCGAGTACAGCGAGCCGACCAGCGAATACGGTTTATACCCTTCCGGCTCAAGCAACGAAGGGCAAACCACACGCGAAATGGAAATAGGAAGGATGAAGAAGAACAGCTACGGATATAGCGGAAATTCAACCTCTTTGCGATGATCATCGACCTCATTCATCCCTTTGTAAAGATCCCATCCTTCTTTTTCATGCTATGACTTGGAATATCACTTTGATTGCAAAAACTGGCAGCAAGTTTTTCTTCTTTTCATGAGATAACACAAATTATATTATATTTTTTTATCCCTCTAATATTTGAAATTACGGGTTTTCATCGATATGTATTCATTAGCGACACAAACAGAAGTAAATAATGGATACATACATGGTGGATGTGGTTGATTCTTTTATTTGTAGTAAATGCTGAAATTTGAATGATAAATTTGTTCGGTTTTTTATACGTATAATAGATATAAATATACAAATTCGTAGGTGAGGGAATGGGCTGGAATAATCAAGGTGTGTAAACGTGAGGTGGAGGAAGTTTAAAGGTGGAGATAACGTGGGGGTGGGCAGCAAGTGGGAACATTCTTCCAAGCTTGGCTGCCTTTTGTAAATATCCCAAACCCAGAAAGCAGCGTATAAAAATGATTGAAGACAGCTCATTCTGGGCTGTGCTCCTACCAACTAACCTTGTCGATTTACAAAGTGGAGTTGGAGTTGGCGTTGGCGTTGGCAACAGATATTAAATAAAGAGTAAAACATATTTGATAATCGATTGCATTGGGGGGTGTTGTTTTGTTTAATTATTAAAAGTTGTAAAATTATTTTTTAATTATAATATTTTGTATTGTTGAATTATTTGATTATTAAAAATTATAAAATAATTATTTGACTATTCATACGTTTTAAACTCGTTACTTTCTATTAAAAATTAGTTGTCATATGAATTGAACATCAACTTGTTGACTGAGATATGATAAAATTTGATATTAGAACTGTTCAAGTTGTATTTTTTGGATCAACTCTTCGATATATTATGTTGTTGAGCCAGTCCATGAAAGCAATGGTGGTATATGTAGACATCACTAAAATATGATTTTATCATATCTCAATCAGCAAGTTAACGTTCAATTCAGAATGTCGATAATTTTTTATATAAAAATGACGAGTTTCGAGCATATGAATAGTCGAGTAACTATTTTATATCTTTTAATAGTTGAAATACTTAATAAAACTTCTAAAAGTCAAAAGATCATTTTATGATTTTTAATAGTTTAAAATTTAATAAATTAATACTATATAACCGAAGACCATTTATATATTTTACTTATAAATTAATTTATTTTAGTCAAATATCCTGTCATATGTGTAAGATGAGGGTGATCCAAAGCCAATTCATTGCCAACCTTAAAATGCTTGCCGATGGGTCCAGAATTGATAACACCAGGAAAAAGAGGGACTTTAAATGATGACTTTTACTCAGTTATCAACAAAAGAGTCTTTATTAATGATAAAAAGATTTGGCTGTTGGCTTTTTACTTACAACTTACATTTGATTCGCATTTCCAGAGTTGCACCATGTGCTGTTCAACTTTCATTTGATTTGCCATATTACCTCGAATTTTATTATCAAATAATATTTCGAAGCCCGGAATAAGATTCTTATCCAAAACTCAATTTATATTGAAGCTTTTTTCCTCTTTTTGATAAAAGTTTATATCAAGTTTTTTTTTATTAATCCAGAGAAATACAAGATAATATCCATTAAAAGATAACTTTCAACTATTTAACATTACATCCCTGATATTTCTTGTACTCGAATATAAGACCTCAAATAATAATAACAATTCTTTTACCACACTGAGGTTGCTCGGTTCATGTAGCACATCTTGACGATTTTTTTGAAAGCATGTATTGTGGTTGAAAATTAATAAAATTTTGAAAAAGAAATAGCTACATTCTTAAATACTAAAAGCTTCACTGTAACCTTAAACTGGATATTGTAAATTAGCACCATGTAGAAAATCATGGTTTTCCTATTCGCTAGCCAATAATATTGCTACTCATCAACATACATGAATTCAAAGCATGGTTTATCTCAGCCTGTTGTGCCTTAAGCACCGAAAACTGTGACAAGCAGGGGGGGAAAAAGGAGAAAGTTACACAAAAAATTTCATCCCCGTCCCTATAGATTGGCCAATCGACCAGAGCCAAGATCGCCTTCGCCTCCGCCGCTTTAGTCTAATTCGCCAAATGCTCAAAAACAGTACAGAGCCTGGAGAAACAGTACATCGATCAATGATGCTTTTAAAAAAAACAAATAAGAAAGATTTACTACCATATTACATTCACCAACCTGTAACTGCAACTATTGCTGGTACAAGCCAATAATGACTGGCAACAAGTTCAGGCACATCCAGCTGAAAACGCGAGGGAAGTTTATCAGTGCTTGGATTTACTGTATATAATGCATTAATGAGTTCAACCAAATCTTCAGCTTCTTACCTCATCTACGTATAGAAGACCCAAGTACCTGTTCCCAAAGAATCACCCTTACTTCTCTTTGTAAATTTGGGGCGTCTTAATCTGGTAGTATCAAAAGTGGAATTTAACCCTCTCCCCAAGTCAATAACATGATGGCCGGGCAGTTTTTTGTTTCTGCCCCGAATTTGCAAATTGTATCCTTTAGTTCCCCACACTTCAAATCTAGAATCACTACGACAGATTAAATCCTTCCCCGTGACAGCAGAATACACAGGGTAATTCACATCAGTTCTTCGAGATGGTAAGCGGTTGTCATCTTCATACAATGGCATATCTTGCTTGACAGACTCTGAGAAAAGCACTGTATCTCTAATATTTGAACCAGTGAAATCCAATACTTTTCTTAGAAGCCAGAAGCAGTTAGTAACCATATGGCTGCTGTCTAAGCAGTTTGAGTCCCCATACACAGCAATGCGACCTTCACCAACATCTAACAGGCCAAGAATAGGGAAGTCAGCCTGCACATGACAAATAGATCACATCATTTCAATGTTTGCCAAACATAGATGATTAAAAATGTAAAACATTTCATTCCGCAGAAATAAGGTCCATGAATCCCTGAAAGAAAGAGCATCTATGTCTAATCACCTTGTTCGTGCCAGAATTTAGTAGCACGTTTCGAGCAGCCCCTCTCTGAGCTATCCAAAAAAGGAAAGCTGTGTACGTTACCCGCCTCTTGGAAACCTCACTATATCTGTTCCAGATGCATATCGACTCTGCTTGCCATTAACAGAAAAGTCACCATTCAGAATCTTATACCCAAAAGCGATCCCAAATGGTTCCAAAAGATCATTTAGTGCTGGAATATTTGCACCTCCAGTTACTGGGGTCCACCAGCTCCTTGTGTTGTCATAAAAAATCTCATTTTAACCATTGTGTCCACATTATACCACTCAGCAAACACAGCCAACCCCAACCCAGTATTAATAACATCATCCCTGAGCTTTTCAATCTCTTCTTGAAAGTACCAATCTTCAGGATCAACCAGCAAAAGTGTCCCATATTGGCTGGCATCAAAGCATGTAAAGGGAGAACCGAGCATCTCAACATAATAGCCAGCATCGGTTAACATGTTGAACATATTGTGAAAATTTGTATGAAGGTGATCCCCATGCCAATCAAGAATGTCATTCCGCACATCCAATGAGTCTCTTGGAATATATCCAGGAGGATATTTTATACTGTGAAACTGATCCCACAACACCCGTTTTGATCGTAGTGGGGTTGGAACCACATTCAATTTCAATTGAAGCACACAAGTACTACTCCGAGCGGTTTTCTCCCCTTGGACTGGAGGACTGTATATTCTAACAGTTACATTCCCCTCATTGACTCCAGAAAATGAGCACCTTCTTCCTTGATTTGCATGTGCAGTGCTATGTAACCAGTCCCAGCCAGATGACTTCTGAATAAGTAAAGCAAATGCTTAAAAGATTCCCTTCCTCGGATGAAGGATGCCATGTTGGTGGACTCTGGACATAGCCAATGACATCCATTCCATTCAGAATGGTAGCATTGAATATAACAGGCATGGCACCAGAATAGAGTGCTTGACGACAAAAGGGCCAGGTATACGGACAAACCGTATAGTCCAGAACACTAGGGAAGATGCTTGCTCGAGGTTGATAGCTCTTCAAAATTTCAAACGATTTTAATCTGACAACAAAATAAAAAATAACCATAGTTGCTTCAACTGAACTGGAAATGCAGATAGAATAAAAATAGCAACAAACTGATAAGTTACTAAATACATGGATCTAAAAGATATAATCCCGAATGTTAATAGGAGAAGCATTCGTGAACTTACAGATCTACTCTCCCTGCACCCTGGTCATACATGTTAGGACCAGCAAGCTTAGCAGCACCCTCAACCAGAGCTTGTTTCATGCTTGCAGGATTTAGAATCTCCTTTCTTTTGTTCTCAGGAATGACACTGACAAGCAGGCATACAACACCAGCAACCACAGGACTTGCCACACTAGTGCCTGACAATTTTTTACAACCAGTTCTGATCTTGGCTCCCATAATTTCCTGCGCATATGCCACAACATCTGGTTTGATACGACATTAACTGCAAAGATAATCATCAAGTTAAATCTTCAAGCATTAATCATCATCATAAAGCTTGCTTATTAAGAGAGATGGAACATCATAACAAAAAGAAAAGGGCTACATGAAAGTGAAGATCTAAAGCCTTCAATACAATCAGCACTGAAAAGGGGTAAAATACCAAGACCTAAATACATTTAAAGAAGGGTTAATATGTTAGAATAAAGATTTGTTACCCATGAGGAATCTCCCAGGTACTCATGCCACGTGATGAAAATGAGGCTATGTGATCACTATAATCAATGCCACCAACACCAATAACTTCAGTTTGGTCTGCTGGGTTGTTTAAAGTGCATTAGAGTGGTCCATCATTTCCAATGGCTGATACCATAATAATATTACTGGCTGTAATTTCCCAAACCAGGAGAAACCATAAAGCAGGGAACATCAATCAAAAAGGTTAAGCTCTATTGCATTCAAGAAAAATATGCAAAAGTGAACGCGTCGATGAATATTGGAAGTTTCACCACCAGGCTGGGTAACCTCACAGGCTGATCTTTCCGTATTTGGAAATAAATGTCCAAAGTAAACAAGCAATCTTCTCAACAACTTGAATGAAGAAATAAACTTGCTTTGATTGAAGCATTTCCATATCGCGACATAACCAAAAGACAAATGCAAAGCAGATTAAAGCCAATATTTTGTTCACTCTTTCGCAATTTTGAAACAAAATTATCAAAATGATGGTTGACATATGAGCCCAATATGGCCACAAGCCACGAGTTGTACCTTCTCTATAAATGGGAGATCCAAG